ACTGGCGAAACATTAGGAAGAACAACCTTCAGAATACGGCCAAAGAGCCCGAAAAACCCACAAAACCAATGAGCAATCTGTTGCTCTCCAGATGTTGTACTGGGGTTCCAATGGCAGTTGCACTCCCAACAACATATCCAAGGCCCTTCTTGGTGTAGACAAGACATTCTTCCTTAAGTGACAGCTGAAAAACCACATCTATGAGAGAAAGCTTAGCTTAGTATCGGAACAAAATGCTTCCCATGCATGGGCTCCCAATTAAAATTCCAGTCCAAGGAATTAGGTAGGAGCCTTGTGGCTCAGTAGTTAAACTGCAGTATTACAGCCCAAACTCTGCTTATGGCTCAGGTTCAATCCCAGGCAACCAGCTTGAGGTTTACTCAACCTTCCATCCTTCTGTGGTAGGTAAACTGACTACGCAGCTCACTGGGAATGCGGGGGGGGGCAATGTGTAGCCTGCGTAATTAAATTGTAAACTGACCAGAGAGTGCTTTAGGATCTGTGGGAGGAATATAAACAACACATTTTGCTTTTCGCTTTAGGTAGGATGTGTTCCTCTGCAGTAGCCTATTGAGAGCCCTGTGCATTCACCACAGACAACGCTGGGCAAAAGAGAGACAAAGATCTCCGCTGAAGCAGTTCCTCATACATGCCATGCTCACTTAAAGCAGCAGTAAATGAAGTGAGAGCTATTCGTATTTCTTTGAGCTGCCCATTAATCATATCCATGCCTGGTGTGGAGATTAAGAGACATAAAGGAACCTGCTTCTCCCTTTGCTTGCATGAGATCCAGAAGCAACCATGGATGAATCTAGAAGATCCACCCTCAGCAATCCCTGCAAATGAATATAATTCTCAGTAGTCCCACACATGTGCACAAACACGTAAGCACAGATGTATCCGCTTGATGACTTGGTGTTAACTACAGAGGTCATGCATCAAATTGGCTTAGTGGAACCTCTACTCCCTCCTGAACACTTAATGACTCATATCACTAAACCCAATAAAAGCCTTAAAAAGGCTTGACCAAAAACTGATTTTTCCAAAGATGCTCAGAAATAAGCCCTTCTCACCTTTCTCACGTGGGCACAGGTGAGATAGACCATTTTTAAGCCTCTCTGTAAATTTATTTCCCTGGAACATTTCACTCCAAAACCCCATATTTGATAAAAGAAACAAATTACAAGTTCCTTTGCTTATATTAACCCACCCTTGTTTACTTTCCTTTAATTTTTTATTCAACCCCCCCCACACACAAAAAAAAGTCCCAAGAGCTTTCCTGAACAATCCCAGCCAGGCAGTTACATCATTTTCTGCCATCCACTTCTGAGTTTTCATCAGATTTGTGATAGCGAAGACTGACGAGTAGCAGCAACCAAAATATATATTCAAAATATCAACAGCAGGGATGCATTCTGAAAATCTGGACCAGAATCCCTTTGGGCATGTGCATCTTGAGATTATTTTCAGAAGGCTGCAAGTTTTGGGGCTATGGAAATAATCCAATGCAGGTAAGAGGGAAACCAGGAAGGGAGAGAACAGCCTCTCTCCTTCAAGACCTAGAGTGGGAATCTGACAAAGTGGAATCCAACAACCATTTTCCCAAATTCCTTTCTTATGGGTCAATTTCCAGAGTGGAGAGAGTACCCCAGGGGTGCCCTGCTGCGCGGCAAATGAACCAAGGCGGTGAGGATGAAAGGAAGGCATCCTTTAACTCCCAGAACATCTACTGATTTCCATATGTGGCATGATACCTGTCATGGAGCAGGGGAGCACACTCCCCACCCAACCAGATAGGACGATGGTGGAAGAGGATGCCAGACTGCATGCAAAATCAGGAAGGGCCCATTTGGAGTTCAGTCCTCCCTAATTCTTAACTCGACCTCCCTGTGGCGGCCAACCCTTCCCTTCCTTGCCCTTGTGGCCAAGAGTCCCTGAGTCAAAGTGGGCTCATTCTAGAATTGCCACGACGCCCTTCTTTCAGATTCCCCCACCCTTATCGGAGCAAGTCCTAAAGCTGAGTGATGCTGTTTGCCCTCTGGGATGTTTGCCACATAAACTTGCCATTAGTGTCAGTCTAGGTCAGACCCAGCAGAGCCTCTGAAAGCACACCAGCCATCCCCACACGGAGATTTCAAGGTAGCCACGGAAACATCACAAAAGATGCCTTGGGAGTCGGCTGATGATTCCAGAGTGCCGTTTGGATGCTTTCACTGCAGAAATGCTGCCCAAAGAGCAGCCACCTCAGTCCTGCTCAGTGACAAAGCCTTCCTAGTAGCTCTACACGCCTGAGACCTTGTAACTTGGAGCGATGGATCCTTGTACGGTACTTACTGTGTGAGAAAGAGTGGGTGTGATTATAATCACGGTGTAAGAATCTGCAAGTCCTCGTGGCACTCCTAAACGTCTCATCATATTAGCGGCTCTTAGAGATAACCTCAGCCAGAGTGTCATTTAACACTTCAAAGCAGCCATAAAAATGTAGGCGGAGGACCTGAATGGCCAACTCTTGGTTGAATTGCAAAGCGTCCATAACTGAATTACTTTTATGTTATTATGGCTCCCCATTCGGCTGATTTTCTAGAGATCTCTGAAGAGCTTAATCCTACCTAAGTAACTGTTTGCTGGAACAGGAACTAGGTTCTCATTCTGAAGGTTCTCATCACCGACTTCATAAGGCCCGTCCTCAAAGATACCCATCTCATAAAAGGTCTGATTCTTTTGCGCTGCGTGAACCACTCCTGGAAGGATGACATGGGCGAAAAAAGAGGGGGGAAAAAGCAAACATGGAATGAATGAATGAATGAAAGGGGAAGAGAAAACTTCAAATTGAACAGTGAACTCTACAAAAATAAAATGAAAGAAAAAAAACACAACAATGGTGTAATTTTGTGGAAGGGGAGGAGTAAATATAATGCAAAACCATGTACTTAAGGATTCCCACTGCAGACCTGCTTTGACATTTCATGATGCAAGAATTATATTACATGAACAAAAAAGGAAGAAAAACCCACATAAAATGTTGATAGGACAGCATGCAATTGACATACATACCTATTCACCATTCTGTTTGGGATAAACAGTTCTAGCAGGATATGGATGACTTTTAGCAAGACTGGGCATAGTAAAGGGACAGGAAGGGAGAGAGAGGGAGACAGATAAATGGTTCTAGCAGGATATGGATGACTTTTAGCAAGACTGGGCATAGTAAAGGGACAGGAAGGGAGAGGGAGAGAGGGGGAAACAGAGAGAGGGAGAGAGAGGGAGATGAAGTAGGCAGCAGATGGGTAGGAAGTTGAGGGGGTGGGGAAAGACAAAGATGGTAATGGCAGAGAAATCTAGAGAAACTGATAGGGCCAGATGGGAGAATTAGAAAACGAACACGTAGCTGAATGCTCTTAGGCCTGAGATGGATGTCCAAGCCTTGAAAGGTGAGTTCACCGAGGATCCCACAGTCACTTTTTAGAAAGAAGGAAATTCTTCTAAAAGCATAGAGACTTAATCTGAAGGCAAGAGTGGGTGATACCTTTATTACACCACTCATTAGACTTAATCTCTCAAGCGGAACTGCAAAGGCAGTTTTTCTCCTACAGCCTTCAAGCTTGTAAACCTCTTCAAAGTTAAACATTAAGATCCCTAGGAACATACATTCTGCCCCAGAGTCCAAAGTACATAGACAGTCCCTGAGAACAGGGTAAGCAGGATTTAAGAAGTCCCAAGGAGCATGGCTTTTCCTTGCCAGCCACAAACTGGTGATTCAAGGTTCTTCTAAACCCGTCTAAACTACAAGAGAGCTACCCTAAAGTCATATTTATAAACCAGCTCCTCAGACATGACATGCTTTGGTGCTAAAGGGCTTGGCTTGGCTACTCATTAAGGCCAAACTTTTGATTTCAGAGCAGCTCTGTTCATGTGATTGCGTATGTCCTCACAGAAACTTCTGAGGGGAGTTGTATCTCACAGCAGAAAACATGTTTTGCATACAGAAAGTGAGACGTTCAGTCTGCACCATCTCTGCTGAATGGAGCAGGTAGCAGGTAATAGGGAGTCCTCAGCTGCTGCTGCTGTTGTTAGTATCATTATTAAAATCATTAATTTATTATTAAATAACGTCTGACTGAAATGCCGGAGAACCAGTATGACCAGAGTGGAATTCTCTGGCATAAGTCATGCGTCTGAAATTAAGATTTGCAATGCAACCCCGAGGAATTCTCTTTCCTGTTGAGGCCTGTCTGCATTTCCTTGGCTAGTACCTGTCACAGTTTATATTCCCACAGAAGGCTAGGGTGAAAAAGATGTGAGGCCAAACCACGCATTTACCTTCTGGACTACTGCAATTAAAATCACTCCGTTACTTAATAATACAATATTATTCCTTCTAAAAGAAAGTGGTCTGTAACGGCAAAAGGATCATTCCAGATAATTTGCTGCTCTTTCACATCTATGTCTATTAATAAGTAACACAAGAGCTCAAAAAGCTGAGCTTGAAAATGTACCTAATATAGTATTCAAGGCTTCAAGGCAATTACTTCCTGTTGTTGTGAAAAGTTTGTTGAAGTAACTTTATACACTCTGGTTTCTCAAAAGTAAATAATATGCTTATTTTAAAAAATTAAAAT